GAATGGTTTGATCCCTATCCAGCTGAATTCCTGAGAGGAGACGAAATCCAGGTCTCCTACTCCTCCGCCATCTTGCTCCGCGCCCCCATCACCATATTCTTGTTCTCTTGATTCAAAATTGTAAATCTTACCACTCAGATTACTATGTGTATGTAGTAAAAAAAAAAAGTAAAATAAGTAGAAAAAAAGAAAGAAAAGAAAAAAGAAAATGTAATAAAATGCCTCAAGTAAAACATAAGTTAGAGCTAATTGTAAAGAACAAATAGTACATTTCTTTGTGCCAATGTTTGTGATCATCTAAGCCCAGATCCCTCATTTGGGTAGAATAAATGCTACCAATTCTAGAATCCCTAAAACTATATACAAATGTATAGATATAAATATCTATCTGTATATTTATGTATAAACAAATGTGACATATTTAATGAATAATATGTATATAAAACACACACATACATATGAACGTTTTTCTGGTTTGCGGAAAGGATTTCTTCAGGCTTTAAATAGGATTCATGATATAAAAGAGATTTAAAAACAATCATAATTGTTCATTCACATTTTATTTCATATATTCAATTTTAAAAAAGATTTTATTTATTTATTTGACACGGAGAGAGAGAGCACAAGCAGGGGAAGTAGCAGGCAGAGGGAGAGGGAGAAGCAGGCTTCTCGCTGAACAGGGAATGCGATGCGGGGCTCCATCCCAGGACCTTGAGATCATGACCTGAGCTGAAGGCAGTTGCTTAATGACTGAGCCACCCAGGCGCCCCATCATATATTCATTTTTTTCCAACAAATATTTAGTGAATGTCTAGCATATCACGTGGGGATAATAGCAGTGGGCGTATCAGACAAAAATGCCTGCCGTTAAGAAGCTTACATTTAGGTACAAGAAGAAATTAACTAACTAACTAACCAACTAACTAAATTTTATAGTATGCTAAGTGATGATAGATTTGATAGGGAATAGAAGGAGGATGAGGAATGCTGATGGATTGATTTTTAACTAGGAGAGGCATGAAAAGGCTCTTTGAAAGGTAGAATTTGAGTAAAATCTGAGAAAGGAAGGGAAGTGAGTCTTGAGGTGATCCAAGGCAGAAAGAACAAAATTGCAAGTGCCTTGGGGTGGGAATATGCCTAGTAGGCTTAAGGAAGAGCAAGGAGGTTGTGTGGCTGGAGTGTTGCAGGAGAATGGGGCATGGGGAGAATAGCAGTGGGTCAGAGGGCAATGAGAGATTATAACATAAGGTGCCTTATTGCCATTGCTAATACTTTAGCTTCTACCCAGTGAGATAGGAAGCCTTTGGAAGGTTCTGAACAGAAGCGTGCCATAGTTTGACATATTTTGAAGGTAGAACTTGGGATTTGCTGGTGCATTGGCAGTGAGAGCAGGAGTCAAGTATGACACTCCAGTGTTTGGCCTGAGCTGCTGGAAAGGTGGAGTTGCCATTAGGTGCTTTGCAAAAGGCCATGATAGGAAAAGGTTTCAGTGTGTATTAGAATTTGTAGTGGGTGAGGCATGCAGAGAATAATAGGAACTTAGTTTTGAAGATTTTTTTTATCTGAGAGGGAGAAAGAGACAGGGCCTGTGCCCGTGTGGGGGCGTGGGGCAGATGGGGAGGGAGAGTGAGAGAGAATCTGGAGCAGACAAACCCTGCACTGAGAAGGGAGCCCCATGCAGAGCTCGATCCCATGACCTGAGATCATGACCTGAGCCAAAACCAAGAGTCGATAGCTTAACTGACTGAGCCATCCAGGTGCCCCCAATAGGAGCTTAGTTTTGGGCATGTTATATTGAGATGCCTGGAGCTGCTAAAGAGGAAGTTTAGACAAGCAAGTATGAAGTTCAGGGGAGAGATAAGGCTTGCAATATAAATTTGTGACCCGTAGTATATAGGGAGATTGGGAGACACGAGATTACATGAAATTAGCAAGAACATGGATATACATAGAAGAGAGAAGAGGCTAAAGGCTGGGTTCTGGAGATCTCCAATGTTAAGCGATTGGGCCAGAATGAGGAATCAACAATGGAGATTAAGAGTAAGTGACCATTCTAGGATGAGAAAAATCAAGAAAATGTGCCACAGAAATGACATGATGAAAGTGTTCAAGAAGGAGTAGTCAACAGTTTTAGATGCTGTTGATAAATAAGGTGAAGACAAATAGTTATTGGATTCAGCAACATGGAGGTCATCGATGGCCTTCACAAGAGCGGTTTTGGTTGAATCTTGGTGGGAGTGGGTCTGTGAGAGAATGGGCATGGTGGGGGGGTGGGGAGGAACATTGGAGACAAGGAGAAAAGTGGAGCATTCCCTGGAGCAGAGATTTGGGGTTTAGAGAGGGCTTTGAAGATGGGAGAGGTGACAGCACATATAATGATCAAATGGAGGTGGGACATTAATGAGTCACAGAAAAGAGGGGAGTATTGTGGGAGTGAATTTCTTGAGTATGAGAGAGTGGGTGATAATGCACAAATGGAGAGATTGTCCTTTGCTGGGAGCACAGAGATTTCATCCAAAAAAAACAGGAAGGAAGACTGGGATATATCTGTGTTGATGTAGGTAGTGGGCAATAAGGACTTGGGAGAAGTGTTCTCTGATTGTTTCCATTTCCTCAAAAAAAAAAAAAAATTAGAGCGCAAACTCATCAGCTCTAAGGGAGGATGGGCACGGAGGTTTGAGTAGAGATGAAAAATTTTGAAATAGTAATTTGGGAGATTGGGAGAGAAGAGAGGTGGGAAAATATGACTACTGGGTGGTAGCAAAAGCCACTTACTGGCAGTGGTCATGAATTTGAACTGCAACCAGTGAGCCTGGTTGTGAATTTTTAGCTACACACATGCTGGCCTGGGGACAGACTGAAAGATTGGTTTAGTAATAAACATGTATTGAATGTCTCCCTGGCACGTGGCCTTGTGTTAGGTGTAAGGAATACAGGGATGAATAAAATGTTTTCTGTCACCTTCCTTAAGAAGCTTTAGAATTGTGGGCATGACAGATCCATTAACATTGAAGTATAACATGGTAAGTTCTAAGCATTGGAAAGCACGAGAGCATAAAAAAAGCTTCTCGGTCCAGTTGAGGGGTTCAGAGATTTTCTGGAGAACATGATGCCTGAAATGAGCATAGATTTATGAGGTATAGTAAAATCCGGTAAAGAAAGATTGGCAAGTGTTCCATGTGAAAGTAACACTGGGAGGTAGATTTCACCAGAAAAAGATACGGAAGGTCTTCCATGTGGCATAGTATCACAGTGTGTGAACTGATGTTATGTAGGGGGAAATGCACACCACCACTGTTTGAGCAGGAAGTGAGAAGGAAGTGGAGGTCAGCAGGTGGAGCTCAAATCCATACAACCTCGGACATGAAGGGGAGCCATTATGAGGACTCGGGATTTTAGGTGATGCCCTGCACTGCCTTGCGGACGGCGGATTTAAAGTGAGGATTGGAGGCAGGGACACATCAAGTGTGATGAACTGCACTTCATACCCCAAGTTAGGATTGCGGTCAGAGGGATGGAAGAAACAATAGATTTGAGAGAAAATTGTCAGGACTGAATGACCTTTTTTGAATGTGGAGGCTGTTAACACCTCATTTTTAGCCCATTCCTTGACTACAGAACATTCCCCTGACCTGAGCCAGACATTTCAGAAATGTGTGTTATTGGTTACGGAGGATGCAGGGTAAAATAATATGAATAGATCTGTTTGCTCATTTAGCATCATTGGAACACATACTGTTTTGATGGAAGGTTAGTAGTCTTTGAATAAAAAGATAGCCTATATATTTATTCAGTATATGTTAATTAAATACATGTGGGTGAGTTATTAAAACAGAGGACAATTTAATAAAATAAAAATATATTTTGTATTATCTGATGTCTTAGGGAGAGTACTATGTCTCAATTTTACTTAGTGAAGTTTGGGTGGTCAATGAAATGATGATACAATTATAAGTTTTAGAAGTAATAAGGCTCACCCTGAGATAGAAATATTACTGAGGTGTGGAATAAGGATTGATCAGGGAAGAGCCACATGGAAGAACCTGGCTATATGTCTAGTTCTTCCACCAGCCTTTGTGTAGGATACTTACCTTCTATTTGGCAAATATATGCAAATGGGTGTCCTGCCATATCTCTTAGGCTTGGTTAGGGATTAGAATATTAGTGTGTAAAAACACTTTGCTAATTTTATGATGAATGTATATGTGCATTCGTAAAAGCGCCGAAGAGGGTTTATTGAAATTAAGGTACTCACTATATCTCACCCCCTTCCCCCGCCTTTTTTTTTTTCCTACTGGGGCAGTGTAAAGAACACGACCTGGCCATGATTAACCAGTTGCTGGATGATCCGAAGCTGACAGCCAGGAAATACAGGGAGTGGAAGGTGATGAACACCCTGCTGATCCAGGATATCTATCAGCAGCAGCGGGCCCCCACGTCTGCCCATGAAGGCACTCCCGAGGGACTCGAGAAACCACCTTCCTCTGCCTGTGTTGAAAATTCTATTTGAGAACAAGCCAGCATTCTCTCCCCTGATCTCTTACCCCAAGTGACTCTTCAAGAGGTTGCAAGAGCTTTCCTTCAAAGGAAAACTGAAACCAGTTCCTTAAGCATTGCCTCTCTCTCCAAAGATGCAACTGAGGTGAGGACCCACTCTGATGGCAGCAGGACTCCTCATTCTGGTTGAAGTGCTTTCATTGAGACTCGAGGAATTGAGTTCAGTTGAACAAACATCGTGTTCCTACTCGGAGCTCTCGGTTATGCTAGGCTTTAAGTGGGATGTGAGAAGTGTATGTTCCTTGCTCTCAAGAGAACCACGGTGTTCTACGGACAAAGATCACATTTTACCAGGGATAATTATTCATAGAAATGTTCGTTTTCCAAAAGAAGAATGTACATATTCCCCTGGGTTGGGTAGTTGAATTCTTCAAATCATTTCTTGGAGTGGAGGAACATGTTTTACAACAGAAACTGGAATGGGACAAATGTGGTTTTGTGGAACCCAAATCTCTTGCCTTTGGTCTGGAATGGTGGTGCCTTTTCCATGAACTGAGAAATACTTCATGGTGATTGGTGTGTGGGAGAGCCCAAGGGGGAGGCATGTTCTATTGAACACCCTCTCAAAGGACAGCTTGATGTTTCCACACTTGACCCAGGGGCAGGGCGGGGGGAGGGTGAGGGATCTGATTAAAGTTTCCTTTCCACAGAACAGCTAAAGAAATCTATCTTATTACTCGTAGAGACCTCTACTCCCTCCTAGCTTTTCTAAACCACTGCAGGAGATAGAAGTAAGTCCAGCAAGGAATGTTTGCTGCTTTGTCCCTGGGAGTGGTGCCTATATCCAGTGTCAACTTACATCCTGTCTCCCCGGGATCAAGATTGACAAGATAATTCTGGTGTCTGAATGGGTTTGATATCTTTACTCCAAAAAACCCCAACAAAAACAACAAAAGAGTTAAAATATGATTGTTTTATTTTTGTATGTTTGTGTCACTTTGTGTCCTATGTGAAGAACTATCTATAATATGTTTGTTATTTAAGTATATTTATAGAAGGTCAAATTACTAGTGTTTTAAAAGATGGTAAAGTAATTACATGTTTTGCTCAATATATATTCTCCAAGTATATACTTTTTTGCTTGAGAAAATAGGAGTACTGTTGATTCACTGGAGTTATTATGTTGCACTATAATGTATGAGGAATGCTCAGGATATCTTGTGGGATAAATGTGGAGGCATGCATTATTAATTGTTCACTTTCTGGCTTCTCTTTTTCTTTCTCCCTCTCTCTTTCTCTGCCTCTTTCTCAACCCAGAGTGCTCAGAATTCTGTCACTCTCTTAACCAGAAAAGGACTTTCACCTTAGGTTATTTCTTCTAGTAAATAAACTTTTTAAGCTTCCTGCCATTTATGCCCACAAACCCTAAACCAAATGAAACACAGCTACTATAGTCTTTTGTCTAAGGTCTAATAGAAATTTTGGGGTCTGCTGTTAAAGAGAACTCATTTTATTAGAGACATAATATGAAAATCTTCCCTTACTAATCACCATGAATATTTTTCATCCTACGAATAACCACAACCCACCAAAAACCCATTTTGCCCTTACCCCTAGCTAATTGTCAGCCCAATATGGTGTGTTTCAGAGCGTTAACATATGGCTTGACATTCAAATGGAAATAACCCTCCGAATTTTATTTGCAGACCAAATGGAAAGAGTCCTTGAAGGTTTCCCCAGGCTTTACTCAGAAGTGTTAATACTTTGTAAACAAAAACAACCTCAGTGTTAAGAAAGAAAAACAACAGGAAACAAGTCAGAGTACTAGAAGCTTATGTAAAATAAGAAGGCATGCCTAGCCAATCTTTAGGAGCACCTGCTCCTAGTGCTGGGGGAAGGATCCAGGTTACATAGGAGCTTGGGGTGGGGGGGGGCGGCGGCGGTCCTGGCTTGCGGTGAATTTACTGTTGGCTCGGGCGGCGCTGGAGAGAAGTAACCATGTAGGACCTCAGATGAGACCCTGAAATTCCTGTTTGGAGAGGCTAGTGCTTTCATCTCTTTTCTTTGGGAGTTATTGATTATTTCTACAATTAGTAGCTGTTAGAAGGTTCATTGTTTAGGAGTCACGATGTAAAGAAAATGTTGAGGGAAGGAGAATTGCTAATGGAGGAGATAATCGTTGGGCACAGTTCTCTTCCACCTTCTTTCCCTTGGCTGGAGATATCAACCTAGAAACTTCAAAACAGTCTTTAAATTGAAGTGCTCAGAAGCTTTTGGCCAGGCTTGGGAACACGTGTCAGTGCTTTGCTTGGGCTTCTCATTAAGGCACACATAACTGACCACTGAGTGTAAATTCCTTTGGAGAGCTCAAACTTAAAGGCAAAATGGGTCCATGAGATTATTGAATCGAGCCTTTCAGTTACTTTTCAAAGTTGTCAGTCTAGAAGCTCTGCCTCTGTGAAAACACTTACTCCCCAGATGAAAGTCAGACCTAACTGCCCAGTCTTGCACCCCCTCTTCTAGACCAAGCTTGCCTGCTTGTCAGGGTTTTCCCTTCCGTAAACACTTTCCCTCTGCATTACCTTGTGTTAGCAAGTAGGGGGCTGCCTCTGTGAGGTCCCAGCTTCAGCTGTGGCCACTGAGAGGAAGTGGGGGTGGGGGGCAGTAGGAAATGATAGGCAGAGTGGGTGACACTATCCATTCTACTCAATTTAGGAATAACCCTGCCATTTTTCTGGTGCAAAGGATATTGGGAAAACTGGATTACTTCCAGTTTATTCCTGGGAATGGGGGCATCTCTGAAATGGATTTCGGGTAGTTTCATGGGGTCTAAGGGTAATTCTTTTACCCACTCCTGTAGACATAGGGTCTGAGGGCTGTGGAATGACCCAGAACCACGGCTGCTCAGGAAGCAGAGGATCTGAGCATAATCAGGTCCAACCCTCTGGCACTGGCTGTGGATTAGGATCCGGCTGGGACTCGTCTTTGGGGTTGCAGGGAGGACCCCTTCTCTCTGGTTAGCCTGTAGACCCAGACTAGTGCCTGATAGGATACTTCCGTGGCTGGCACATTGCGGCACACGCCGAAATGAATGGTCCCACACTTGATAGGCATATACTGCTTTTAATAATTCTTAGTTCTGGCACAATCTTAGCGTAGCATCAAAGACCCGGGAAGAATCATAACGTATACCATGGCAAAGACTCCAGGAAGCCTAAGAGAGATTGTGTTTGCAGTCAGATTTCAATGTGAAACCCAAGCCTTATATTTATGTAGCACTTTGTAGTTTGCAGATCTGTGTGTTCAGGCTCCCCCGTTCCCTCCCCAGTGGTTTTTGCAGGGATGATGGTGGATTCTCATTCCTCCTTTTTCACCGGGGAGGAAATAAGCTCCTCTTGCCCCTCTCTCTCTCTCTCCCCTTTACCTTGCGCAGTCACTGTTGGCCCCCAGCCCTGTGAGGTGCGGGGTGTGTGCATTGCACTGGACCGGGCACACCTGTGGGGTTTTTTGTGAAGTCAGCCACTGGAAACCTGAGGGGGCCTCTTTTCCTCAGGGCTGAAGAGTGACTGTCCCTCCTGCGGCCATTGGTTCCTGGGTTGACTGGATTGCGGTGTGACCTAGTCACTCTGCTTCCTTTCCTTCCTTCTTGAAATTTCACTGCTTGTTTTAGGTGCTGTGAAATCCTAGGAGGAAAGAGTCAGTTAAAGAAATGGAATTCATTTATTTTCTTTTAAAGGCATGTCAGGAGATGTCAGCCTAGGGACTAGGAGTTAGGCCCTCCCCCTTCCTCTCCCAATTTCTTCTCCTGTAATTATGTAGCTTCCTCAGATAGACTTAAAATGATGAACAATATCATAGAATTGAAACAGATAAAAAGAAAATACACATTAAGTCTTTTGAGGAGAGGTACTAGACAAATTCCAGCCATATGTAAACTCATGGATACAGACCTCTTTTAAGATACTCTCCTTGAAAGATAATATTTTGATATATAGCCACACGGAAGATTTAAGTGAGGAATTTAGGTACAGAGGATGCCTATCCCAAACAAGCCAATATAATAAAAATAACCAATAACTTTTGGTTAGTTTTAGAAGACCTCTCTTCTTCAGTCTAATAAAATATGATATTTGAGATTTCCCAGTTTATTTCCTTCTAATTTTTTTGTGTGCTTACCTCACAAGAGAAATCGAGTCCTAGAAATGTCACGTGACTGCCCTGCTAGGGTTTTGTAATGTGTAATTAAAAAGGAAAGTCCCTGAAACTAGATTTTAACAACCCGTATGAAATGAGTGAAGGCAGAGGAATAATTTTAACCTTCACAGAAAGCCGCCTCTCTCTGTGAGCAAGATGCCGAACAGCTCCATGTTTTTCTACATTGTGAGACAGGAAGCGATTTCCTTGCTTCCTCTGCACGTTTTTCCTCTTCCCCATACTACCACAGACCACAGAAAACATGAAAAATAGTTCTACATTTCAAATGTTCTTCCATATCTCTTCCCGTGAGACTCAATGGCTCTATATTGATATTTCTTTATGTTGAGTCCAAAGGGGAAGCATGCTCCGTGGAGACATTTAGCATCCCATAATAAACACCAGGAGTTGTAATCACCATAGACTTTCATGTCCTTGCATGATGGGGATGTGACTTTTAGCACTGCATGGTGTTTGGGGCAAGATGACAATGTGGAAATTATCTCTTCAATCTCATTGTGCTTTCACTCTCTGTCACCTATCCTCTTTGAACTGGAAAAAGAGGCATGGCTCATTTCTTCTGCTTTATGTTTTTTAGATTGACTTGTAAGATACAAATGAAAACAAGAGAAAATATATCTAGTAAAATGACATGAAAAAAATGGAAATATACTACTGGTATTTGTTTTCTGCCCTGCTGTGTTCCTTCTTCCAAGAACAGACTCGCTGGGAAGGGTTTGATGGCTGGGCTTTTATCTTCTACAAAGATTGTGGTGCCCTCTGGTGGCCATCGTAAGAATAACTGACTAGATGATTTTATTTTTAAATGCAGCCTTTAATTATGTTGGGACATCTATCTCAATAATAACTGATGTGCTCTTCTCCAGTGGTCCTCAGCTTACAGGCTTGTTAGGAAAAAGATATACTTTTCAAAATTGTTGGTCCACAAAACTTGACTTGCACATTGCATACCCCTTATCATTACGAGACACCCACCTTTTGTTTAGAGAATTTAAAAATTTTGCAGATCATAAAAATTAAGACCTGTGGCACATATGTTCATTCAAATGCATAAGCTGTTTCTGTGTGAAAAATAAACAGAGAAAATATTGAAATAGCATAATAAATTGCTTTATTTTGGACCACTGATGGGAAGAAGTTAGACTGCATTTTTTTTTTTTTTTTTTTTTTAAGAGAGAGACACAGGCAGAGAGGGAACACAAACAGGGGGAGTGGGAGAGGGAGAAGCAGGCTTCCCACTGAGCTGGGAGCCCGATGTGGGGCTCGATCCCAGGACCCTGGGATCATGACCTGAGCCCAAGGTAGACGCCTGACGACTGAGCCACCCAGGAGCCCCAGCCTGCATTTGAACTTGATTCACAAATCCTTGATTGCTGTCTACACAAACAAATAAGGGTTTTTTTTTTTTTCCTCACTCTCTCTCAGTTATCGCTTCACATGTTGAGCCCTCCCCTCTTTTTTCCCTCCATCCAGCTCCCACACAGAAGCAGGAAACAT